AAAATAAAGAAAAAAATATATATATATATATATATATATATATATATATATGTATATAATATAATAATATAATATATAATATAATATAATATTATAGTATTATATATATAATCTGGACATACGAATTTTTGCTTTCACGAAATAAATAAGGGTTCAAAATAAATAAAATGAAAAATAAAACGAAAAGAATGAATAAAAGGCAAAACAAAATAAAGGTCTGGTAAGAAAATGGAAGTTATTCGTAACTCGACCTAATATTTGCCCAACTTACGCGCGCATCTCCCGAAACTCACCGAATTTATTTGGGATAACGTCCGGATCGGTTTCCACGGTCTGTTGCGTGTTCTGCAGAGGATACTGTTGCGGCGGCAGTTCGCTGAGCTCCGCTGGTTTTTCGTGTCTCGGTTTCGACACCCTGTCCCGGCGCACCCGCACCGCCACCACCAGGATGATCAGCACCATGGTGACCAGAGCGCCAACCACCACACCGATCAGGGGCGAGAGCACGATCCCGTCGTCTTGTCCTTGAACAAACATAAATTCCGGGACGATTAGTGGCGCAGACTAACGGGTTGCTGGCGGGGCTCTCACAGCTCGGAGGCCGCGCGACGCTTAAACGACCTGCGTAATTAACAAATTCCGCTCGGTCGCGCAGTTTCAGTCAGCGCCCGATGAAATTTACGAGGACCTGGGGATTGACAAATGAACAACGGCAATTTATTTAAAATTATCACCGGCGATAATTAAACGATGCACGGGACCTGTAATAATCGCGCGGCCGATCGACTCCGCGAATAAATCGTAATATGTCCGTGCATTATTAAGCAGGTAATCGCGGGGACCGTCGAAATGGCGCGATAATAATCATTATGAACCGGCCCGACAAGCTTTTCGAGCGGCGACTCCGCCGGGCGTTCGCGTGCCACGGTATAAAATCACCGGCAAGCATGAGCCACGCCGCCGCCAAATCCCTGTCGGGCAATTAGGCGGGCCAGACTTTCTTGCGGTTGCTCTTCTTGTCCGCTGCTTTGCGGTTTCTTGTTGCACGCCCGCCAAGAAATCGATCGGGAAACGCGGTCATTGAAAATACAACAGTTTCGCGGATCTTTCGTTCGACGCACAGAAACGACCAAATTTTAGCGCAAAAGGACTAAGGCGAAACGGAAGAAAGAAATTGGTAAACTGCACTGTGCTTGCAAATCTTTTCTTGAGCGACGTCTCGCGCATCGCGGTCCATCGGTAGAAATACGATCGGACTTCGATTCGTCCTAGAATAATACTACTTTACCAATCCTGATTTGACCAATGTTTATGATTCTTAGCAGATGCAAATCTCATTTGATAATGAGATTCATTGAAAATGTTCCAACTGTCTTCTAACTGGTCCAGAATTGATTTGTTTATCATTGCTTAACAATCGTGTTTTCAATCTGTTTCAAATGAAATTTAAAACGTATCATTTAATATCATTTAATTACTATTTAATAGAATCATAATTATAGTCTGCAGAGATTTATGATATTACGGTTATCTTATAATACTTAGCCTCTGTATTTTCTCTTCTTTTTTGTGATTTCATAACTAATGGGCAACTTCCCGTGTATATTTAATAAATAAATTATAGGAATAATTAGACTGAAGTTTCTGAAACATTTGTGTGAATGAAAAAATGTATGAATTTTGAAAAAATCCACTTCCTAAAAACATTTAATATTTGTGAAACTGACAATAAGATTTTGATAAGAAGTATATAACGAGAATTTTTCGGATTTCACACAGAGGGATTCTATTAAATATATCTATAAAGAAATTTAAAAAGAATTTAAAATACGAAACATGCATCTATGTATAGATTTCAAAAGGAAACAGACGTAACAGTTATAGAACGTGTTGTTTGCACGCAACGTGTCTTATTGTTAGACATTTTATGACACCGACATTTTATGACTGGGCTCCTCGGCCACCCCGTAGGGACCGTGCCAAGTCATAAATCCGTTGAAGGATGGGGCGCATCGTCTACCAGATTGTCAGGTGACCTTAGTCTAAAGCAGGGTTGTCAAACCCAAAAGCTAACTTGGGCCAAATAAACAATGCTTAACTTTAGGTGGGCCGCAAAAAAGAAATCAATGTTCATAGAAACAAATATTTTTATTTCGACTAGTACATTGTACTCAACACATATATAAAGTTAAATTATTGTTTACGTCCTGATGCTCGACATCTCTCGCGAAAATGTTCATCTCGGGCCGCGAGTTTGTGACACCCCTGGTCTAAAGGCTAGAGCCTAAACTTTTAAACCGGAAACTTTAATCCTGAAATTTGAATTTCCGCGGAGGCGCGTCGGTCTACGCGGGAAATCGGAGGTTGAATTTCCGAAGGAATTAGTTGGGCAAACTGTGCGGTAGCTAACGGGTTCCGGGTGGCAAGGCGAAGTATCGGGAAGCTCGTGGAGCGGTTGCGAACGATCCGATTCCCCCGCAGTGCGCGGAGTTGTCGAAACGCTTGTCCTTTGATCCGGCAAGGGTTCGTTAACTGTGTAACGGCGCGGTATAAACGATGCGTGGAAAATGCCGGAAAACACTCGGCGCCCTGTATAATCGGGTTTCGGGAATGTTCTCGAGTTCCCCCCTTCAGCTTCCACCTAATTTGAAGCAACGCGAGAAAGCGCGGGGCAAACGTACGCGCATACGTCTCCATTCTTGTTTCGCGTCGACTCGAGTGTTTTCTCCCTCTGTGTCTCTCCGGTCCTCTTTCTCCCCTCTGTCCCTCTCTCTTTCTCCCTCGGCACCCTTCTGTGTGTATTAAATACCGCGCGTACACAAGGGAGCGCACGCGAGCTCGGGCCAGCCCTTTTTCCCGCTTTGTCGCATTCAGACCGAAGCAGACCGGAATCCGTCGCAAAGCCGGCGAGCGCGAAGAAACGCAAATTAGAACGAAGGATTAACCACGGCGTGGGCGCGACGCAGCGCCGAGACAACGACTACTTTACAACCCTCCACGGTTATTTACCGTCTCCCATTTTTTCCCCTCCTACCCCGCCCCGGCGAACCGTGCTATCAAACGATTCTGCAAATAGTCGGTCGCGCGAGTAAAGTTCCCCGCACTGTTGACTATCCAATTGCGGTTGATCTTCGGTCGATCGGAGTACCCCGGCCCAGCACGCGATCTCTGAAAGATCGACCCTTTTGTCTGTCGCCTGTGTTAACAGTAGAAGGGTTCAGCAGTCGTGCGTGGTCCAAGATTCGTTCGGTTTTTCCGGAATTTTGGATGTTCGTCGACCAGCCGATATCTATTTCTGTGGCTGCAAGCAAGAACGCCGCAGTTTCTAAAATTGCATAATTTCTTTCGGTCTATAGAATTTGTTCTCGCGTCTCGTTTTGCCGCTTAACACGCGCCTTTAACATTATTTTTAACGAATCTTTCTTGCTTCTCGTTTCAAAGAAACAGACGAGCCGGAATCATGGCAACAATTAGATCATCATTTCGATAAGCGCTTGCCAACGAGGCTCCGTACTATCATCGATTTTCACTAGTTCTTGTCGTAACAATTTGTAAATATTGTTGGAAGAGTAACAAATGTACACACGGTGTCCAGAAACGTTGGGATCAAACTTATACTAGCTGTTACTCGGGTCAAATAGATGCAAGAAGTTAGATTATAGATGAAAATGTCCCAATTTTTGGGGAAAAGCAATGTCGTTTTTTACATTAGATTCAAACGAATCAATTTTTAACTAGTTCTTATTTTCAATCAATGATGTAATCACCCTCGTTATCAACAACCTTTCGCCATCTAGTGAGCAAATTTTCAATGCCGAATCGATAAAAATCACTTGGTTTTTGAGAAAAATATCTGGAGATCACATTTTGGACATCATCCAAATTTTCAAATTTCTTGCCACTTAGAAAATGTTGCAACCATTGGAATAAATGGAAATATGATGGCGCAATATCCGGCGAGTATGGTGCGTGAGCCAATACCTCCCACCCTAATTCATTAATTTTATTCATGGTTCGTCGCCGAAGCAATAAGTTGCATGCGATGGATCGGTTAGCTTTGTTTTCTTCGGACAGATTTTATGCGGCACCCAAACACCCGCTCTGCTTACTTTACCAATCTGCTGCAAATGTTCTTGGATGATCGACCAAGGTTGGTTAAGAGTGTTTGACAGTTCCTCAATTGTCTGACACGGACTTGCTTCCACTTTCGCCCTTAACATGTCATCGTCTAAAGTTGTTGGTCTTCCTGATCGATACGAGTCGGAAAGATCAAAATTACCGAATTTGAACATAGAAAACCACCTTCGGCATTTTCGAACGTTTGATGCGCTTGGATAAACATCGCAAATGTTTTTGGTAGCATCTGTTGCGTTGCTACCCTTGTGAAACTCAAAAAGCATGCCGGATATGTACTTCTTCTGGTATTTGGCTGGCCATTTCACCATAAATAGCAAAACAATTTACGATTTAATTATTTACAAGAAAACAAGTCACTTTAACCTTAAAATGTCTTTGGCACGACTGAGAAGTACACGATGAGCTTGATAAACGACAAGCGAATATCGACATGCACGGAAACGACATTACTTTGCGGTCCGCCGGGGCAAGAAGTTGCATAGTCTTTTTACAGAAAAATACCAAAAGAATCACGTCTTTGACTGGAACACGCCGTTTAGGCGGGTTCCTCTTGTACCCGTGTCCGATGCTTTCGTCTCGAAGTTGCAGCGCCGGGAACAGGAAAGCGGAAGCGTGTCGCGTGGCGCACGCGCGCGTAATAATCAGCGGAAATTCTGGAAAAACGGGGTAGTTTCGCCCCTGGTCAAGTCCTCTGTGATGCGGTCGCGGGCTCGAGGAGTCGTGAATTAAAAAGGCTCGCCGGGGAAAGCTAACGAGCAGCGCGCCGGCCCCGGCTCCGCTGTCCCACTTAAATTGCCGTGCGAGTGCGAGTGGCGCGCAGCTGGCCGGCTCGCACTGCAAGAAAACAGTTTTGTTAATTATCCGACGAAAGCAGCAGGCCCGATCCCACGCTCGGCCACTATCGACTGAAACTGGCGCGCCGAGCCGAGCCAAGCCCGAACCAGCCAAGAATTAACCCGAATCTTGAATAAATCGCGACCAAGAATCGCCCCGGCCGTGTTATTGCACGTCGGAATTCAAACTTCGAAATAACTTCTCGGGCTTTTAGCGCCGACCACGCTTCAGCTTCTCCGTGTAGATATTTCCCCGGCAGTTTTTTCTCTCGAATTTCCGGTAAACACTGTTTCGATCCGGAGCCGTTTCCGGCTACGTTCGTGCCAGCACCGTTTATCGTTCCCTTCGAGGACAGGCTTTGCCTCGACGTCTCTGTGCCTCTTTTGGCCCTTCTCGGCCGGATTATTTTCGATCCGCTTGGAAAGTTGCTCGTATCGCGAGATAACTGCGAGCCTAAAACTGATTGGACTTCTTTGGACTAGAGGCCAACGAAAGATGATGCAGTGTTCAGGCGTAGCAGGGCTCCAAAATTTTGCTATCGACCTAGGTGGAC